GATCTGTACTTGTCTAGACTAGTCTATTCTGTATGAGAGTATACTGGAAAGTTCGAGAACAATAGAGAGGAATATATAATGGGTAATTGGGATGACTTTTGTTCTGCAGATTATGGTCTTGTATTCTTAGGAACTCTTTAGACATTATTGAATTTATGCACATCTTGACCTTTTGACATTTCCAAATATTGATTTTATGAACTCTCGACTCATTGACAGGATGTTGCCAGAGTGATTAGGTACTTAGCTGTGCTATCAGTGCCCTAATCTCATCTAGCTTACTGCGGCCAAGTGTCCGAGTGCCGCGATGGTGGGAGCCTAATGAGGCTCGATCGGAGCTGATCCGTGGTATTCACAACACACTTAGTTGTGATGAAGTTGAGCCTCCTGATTAGTAGTAATGTTTTGATAACCTACATCTCCCCTCCCCCATACAACATAATTGTAAGAATTCTCAATGGTAAGCTTAGATCTACTCCTAAGCTCAAACAACAGTTAAACCGTGACAATTTGCCACCATCACTGCCACACTTCTTTCGTGCATATTAAACACACTTAACAGAGGCTTCTTCCGAGCAATGCATCTGCTGTAATTTCTTTTTTTGAGGGCATTTGAAAGTAAATGCTCATTGTATCCCCCCAGTGCCTGAAGGGTCCCATGGCTAGTTTCAAAAAGCACATCTAATAATTTTCTGGAGATTCCTGCAAGAAAGCTTCAAGCTCATCGACTTGTTACTGTTAAAATTGGCGCTACTTGGCAATGAAGAGTCGCATTAATACAGAAAGTAATAAGGTTCTATTATTACTAGCCACATTCATGATGACTCATACATTGACCAGCCTCCCAATTATCTAGCATAAGCTAGTGAATTATGTCCTTTGCTTAGCTGTAGTAATTAGTTTAAATAGCGCTCTGATACTAAGTGGGTTTAGTCAACAACTCTCCACTATAGTTTTCAGACTCTTCAATCTCCCAACTCGCTTCACTAGGTGATATTAAATACAAGCCTTACAGCTTAAGCTTCTCTATACAACTTCCATTCCAACAGTTACAAGCTTAATTTTGGTGAGCATCCTTTGCGAGATAAAAGATTCTCATCCTCTCGAGCACACGCAAGTTGTGCTTGCCTTATTGTAAAGCAAAGTTTGTATTGTGATTATGAGGAGGGGAATTGCACACAAACAGTGGCTTTATCAATATTTGCTTGACACTATTATGAAGTGGACAATGATATGTGTTCGCTTTATTAGATTTGTTTCCTGATGATTGCTGTCTATATGAAGGAGAATACTCCTATTTATACCTAAAGCTCATCTTTCTAATTGCTGGTAGAATATTCCATCTTGTGATGTAAGATATTCTATCATATGTTATAGAATAGTCTACATTCTTGTTCACACCATCCACATGCAACTATTATGATATCACTATACCAACCACATCTTGTATAGATCTCTATATCATCTAATACAGCTTGTCCTATTGGCTGAGTGATTTCACATCATTACAGTTTGCTGGTTATTTATTGTAATGTCAAGCCAAGTCTTCTTAATGTTCATATTTCAAAACATTAACTGACAGTTGGTTGCTTGCAAACTTTGATTCCTAAAGCAGACTTTTCGAGAGATATTGTTTGATAGAATAAAGGATTAGTCTATAGTGATGTAAAGAATCAAGGGATTTTTTGTTCATTAAAGTGCTAGGTGAAGTAACTTCTGTCGCACTCTTACTGGAGCTTGAGCATGAGTGGGGCCGGGCCTGATCAGGTTGACTACCGTGCAGTACAAGTGCCTCGTCCCACCTAAATGACCGGAACCATGCCAAATCGCATCTATGTGTTGAATCATGACAAGTTCAGCAGCCAGATTGGAAACAAGCAAAAAATTTCCATGCAAAATCCCGCATTACAAAAGAAAAAATTTAACAATCTTCCTTCCATTGTTCCACCTTAGCCGCCACGCGCCTGAGCGTCGAATCCAATCTCTCTGTCCATGCCAAACCACCCAGGCCCTTGATTTATCACCTCCGAGTCACAGGTATCCCCGCCATTCCCCGACTAGCCTCTGTGTATATTCCGCTCTGCTGGACGTAGTCCCCCAATAGCTGCCACCCACTTGATGCGAGCATTGTTTCCAGAGCTGGTGCCCTTCTCTTTCTGCTTTTCAGCCGCCATGTTGCCAGTGCTTTTCGACACTGGACAAGGTGACCAATTGATTTTTTCCTCCCGCACTCGCAGTTAAGTGTAGCGTCAGTGTGGCTGAAGCGGCCTTGATATGTTGCAAAGTCCTTATGTCCAGTTTGAGTGGCAATTTAATCAAGGGCTTTGTTGGTTAGTGTCAGATTGGAGCGTAGGCGTTTGACCTGAAGCGTAATAGTAGGGCGAGAAGAGGTCGGATGGATCGCAAGAGATGACTGAAGGTCAACTGGAGATAACTATTAGGAACTAAAGGTTTGAAAGGTGGGTAATATAAATAGCTAAAAGGTCTAAAGGTTCGAGTGGGTACTAATGGTAACTAAAGGTACACGAGGTAATTGGAGGTGACTAGAGGTGATCAGAGGTAATCCGAAGGTGGTGGTTGTGACAGAATACTAAGCGTGAAGAACTCCATAACTACAGATCAAGCCATCATACATATACTTGCTTTCCTCCCACTAGCTTATCATAACATAGGTCCTACACTAATACCAACATAATAACAAGTGCCAAGAACTGTTCTGTTGTCATGGCAACATCAGGAGAAGGGTAAAATTATAAACTAAAGTTTGGATGAGAAGGAGAATCCTTTCAGTTAGGCAGTCAAAAGTGTTGTTGAAAATGTATTTCTCTAACTGATTGTTTGAAAAAGACGGTCAGACCACACTTAATTGTAAGTGGGGTAAAAAGGAGAGACAGTCTAACTTATTATGAGCTATCCTAACTATGCCTGCAGGACTAATCACTTAAACAATCCAGTTTCAAGCTTAACCTTGTCTATCCCAGACAGACTGTAATCCCCACATAATGACAAATCTAATTTTACAATTCAGATGAACTGTTGGAAATATCGCGCAATGTAATGGGCGCAATATTCATGGAACGAAAGTAGAAGTTGACTAAAAGAGTGTCATGTTCGGATTACAGCTAAAAGTGTGGGAAGTGTGCGCTACAAGTACAAGTGTAAGCAACACAGAGCCTAAGCCACAGCATAAACAAGTGTGGCGCCATCTAGGCATATAAAACCCCCAATAACCTCCTTGCGCCCACGCCAAACAGCCGCTCATGTATCCAATAGGTAGCCTGAAGCGCTACCATATTACCTGTTCCAACCTCTTAAATACACACGAGATCGTGTCGGGAACCTAGACGAAATGGAGGGCCCATACGTCCACAACACTCCGTGTCTCCATTTCCAACATGAACCAATAGTATTATCTAATTGATAATCTGTAGATAGAGATTATGTAAATAAATAACTCACTAAATTTGGCAGGTGAAGGTTATTGTTGTCACAGACCAAGGATCTATTCTGAGTCAATAGGAACTATGTACAAGGACCTCTATGCTATTCTGCTACATTATATCCAAATCTATTCCAATCTATTCCATTCTATTCCATTCTATTCCATTCTATTCCATTCTGTTCTGATCTGTGTTAACATTTCTACCTTGATATTGACCTGTACAAACATACTGTATAATAGTAACTCATATTGATACTCAGGATTGCAATGGATGGCAGAGATTGATGGTGTTTATGGCAGTGGGGGGTCTGGTAATTTTTGACAGGGATAGGACACGTGTATATATATATTGCGCACTTGACTCCTCTTTAATATGACAATGCTTCTGACTACATTCATAATTCCCATACCTACTCTGGGCTAATCACCCAATACTATATTGGTCCTATCTTCTAATTAATGCCCTTTTCGCCCTTTTATCTTAAATGACATGTCATGATATTCTTCGTCTTGCTGGCCAACATCAAGCTCAGAGTTATTGACTGATTAAATCTTTAACAACCTGTACTTGTCAATACTATTTTGTTCTACTCCATTCTATTCTGAATGAGAGTTTACTGGAAAGATTGAGAACAATAGAGAGAGATATATCATGGGTAATTGGGATGACTGTGGTTTGGCAGATTATGGTCTTGTATCTTAGGAACCTTTTACATAATCTTGAATACCTTTGCACATTGATCTATTGAACATCTGAACTCTTGACCTTTCAGCATCTTGACATTTCGACTTTCCAACTTTAAGACACCTAACAACATCTTGAAATATTGACCAAACAAATTACTGACCCTCCGAAGTACTCCTGTTATTGACAATTATATTGTATAGAAACAGCATTTTTGCACCAGGTTATACTTTCGTCCCTTTCCTAGTATAGCAGATGGTCCGCCTTTCTAATATCAATGCAAGGTTATGAGGTGGGGAATAGCCACTAGCAATGTGTCACACGTTCTCTAAACAATATGATCAATATTGCTGCAGATGAGTATATAGAATATGTTATGCTTGATGCAGCTAAATATGATAGAATCACTATTCTCATATACATGAGAATAAACTGCAGCTTTGATTGAAATCATTCTATGTAATTACAGATTGATGATGTCAACTTCCACTCTGTATCAGTCCATTCCATTAGCATTATTACTGTTTGTCTAACCACTCCTCAATATAAATATACAGTGGTATCCATGCTTCAATTATAACACCTTCTTTGTCTCCAGAAAATTTTACTGAGCCATCACAGATGTGGATGGAAATACTATCACTGGATAGAAGACCATTGTGTCTTGCATCAAAGTTTTTATTGTTCACCAAGTTTCTTTGCCTTATTTACTCAAATCAATGGCAGAATAATACTTAAGTACTCTGAGTCATTTTCACTTAAACCTATCAGTTTCTATCCTGCATTGCGTAGCTTTATGTCATCAACTGTTACCAATAACAAAAACCGTCAAAATTTCTTTTCTCCAGCATTGCTCCCGAGAGCTGTAACAGTTTAAGCACATTTTGAGCTATTATGTCCAAAAATCCGGCTTTCCCAGATTTTCACCCCCATATCTGTTGTAGAAACCCAAAGGTTAAGATCTCCATTCTGGTCCTTAGTGACATAATTAAATACACCTATGGGTAATTCAGCTATCACGTTGCCTTGAACTAGGATAGATTTCTTACCGTTCTTTCTCCACTCTTCAGAAACTGAAATGGGCATTAGGAATTTGTAGCCTAATTTTCTGGCGTGATTTTGAACTACGTCATTTGGAGATTTCCATTCAACTCCACTGTTCTTTATTCTGGTGACAGCAGCTCTGATGTCGTCCATTGGGCCTGGAAGCTTCGATGAACCAGATGAAGACCTTGGGATCAGCAAAGCAGCAGAAATTGATGTTGCTTATGTTAGTAGCACAATAATTCCGGTAAGATTTAGGAACTTCATGTTGTTCCAGCAAAGATTTATTTTAGCGCTAGATATATGTTTCACCTGAAAACTCACTTTAATTTCTGTGTGCTTGATCTATTTTACGTGAAGAAGTAAAATGGAAATAAACTCAGTGAAGTAGAAATTCGAATGAAGCTGGTTTCTGGAGACTGGAATGTGTTGGAGTGGAAGAGAAGATGGTTTATATATGCAACATTAGTATCCTATTGCAATTTGGAATGATATGGCTGTTACTAATACAATAATGATGTCTTGTGTCCTTGATACAATATCCAAGAGCTAATCTGACTCATGGAAGCATGTAATCCACATATATCATTCCTTTCATAGTAATTTTCTGTAATATAGAATCCTGTTTTTGAAATTGGGGCCACTTGGCAATGAAGAGTTGCATTAATGCGGAACGTGATAAGGCTTGAGTATTACTAGTCACATTCATGATGACTCATACATTGACCAGTCTCCCAATTATTTAGCATAAGCTAGTGAATGGTGTGCTTCGCTTAACTATAGTAATTTGTAACGGCTTCTAAGCCTAAGAATTCCTGTAGCCTACGCTGGCAAGCGCAGGCAATGACATCAAGGGAATCTTCGGGGATCTTCGGGAAGGATCTCATGATACACGGAGCTTAGAAGATTCTTAATGAACCTTCTGGAAGTATACTGAAGGTTCATGAGGATGATAGACATATCGAGAGTCTTCCAGGGAATCTTCGAAGATTCCATATTATTCTAGTCTTAGGGGGAACCTTATAGGAGGGGAATATCTTAGAGTGTATATATATTTGTAGTCTAGCTAAAGGAATTCTCTCTCTAGAGAATTATAATTAATATACTGTACCTGCAAGGTTGCCCAAGCATGTTGTACTGAAACCGTGACATAATTAGTTTAAATAGCGCTCTGATACTAAGTGGGTTTAACCAACAACTCTCCACTATAGTTTTCAGGCTCTTCAATCTCCCAACTCGCTTCACTAGGTGATATTAAATACAAGCCTAACAGCTTATGCTACTCTACCAAACTTCTATTCCAACAGGGGTAGGTCACTTGAGCTATCTTCTAGGAAAACCTCCTCGAGCCCATGCAGTTGTCCAGGAAGTAACCCACGGATTGATTCAACAGTAGGTCTGACACGCATATTACTTAGTTTTTCCAACGCTTTATTTAAGTCCGATATGGTGACAGATGCAAGGACATGTTCCTCCTTATTGTTACACGCGCGCCTTGTAAGGGCAGAAAATACATGCGCAGACACTAATTTGGCTTCTCTTATATATTTTGTTAAATCTTCAGCTTGGTTACTGCTACTCTCGGTACTTTCGTAAATCTTCACTTTCTGATGTCCTTGACCAATATGCAAGACATGGTCTCCTGCTTGGTAGACAGCGTTATTTCTTTCGGCCCAGCCTTTACCGAGGATTAGATCATAGTGTAATCCGTGGATTATATATCCCCATAATCTTTCTTTTCGGAGGCTAATAAATAAAGTAACAAACGTAATATAGTTAATTTTGTAGCTTTTATCATCATCTTTCGCAAGCTTAAGCTCTCTAGACTCTACAAGAATGTGTGGCAGGTTTCTTTTTATAACAGTCTCTTCACAAAAAGCAGCATATGGAAGGCAGCCGGAGTCAAAAAGAGCTGAGAGATAAAAATGATCATTTATAAAGGCATCTATTAAAAATGGTTTGCTATCCATTCTATTCTCAGCCTGTAAGATTTCAATTTTAGATGGCCTTGTTGCCAGATTTATCCCAAAAGAGTCCAAAATCTGTTGCCTCTGAACAGGACTTCGCTCAGAGGTCATTTGTTTCCCAAATCAGAACGAGACAATTGTTCATTAAACAGGTTGGAATTAGTTGAGGCCGCATTGATGACCGAGTTTCAAAACCTACCAGAGCCTCTTGGTGTAGGATTAACGCGGAAATTTCGGTACCTACACTCGCTCCATCTGTGTGAAGGAGATCTACCGCATCTCTCGCACTGACCCTGTTCAACCCTACGGTTACTTTCTGGCTGAGGTAAACCAGGCGGAAATTGTTGTGCTTAGCTAAAGCAGATAAGGCACGTGGTGCTTGTGAAGAGGTTACATCATGGAGTTCTTCCTGCGGGGAAGACAACTCACATGATGTGTTTGGCGCATTTGCCTCGGAGTGGAAAATAGCATGGATGAACAGAGTGGTCCAAGTGATTGGCTAGTAAGCGACTTGGCCACACATAAAAGCATTAATCTTTCCTATGTAGACAGACACATATTCTATATACATTTTCACACATCATCTGATCAATCTCATCTTCTGCAATCCAATCTATCTAAGCCATCACCGCAAGCATACGTTCCCCATTTCATATACCAAGTAAAACAGAAATGGATGGTTATCGATTCTATACTCTTTATTCCTAGAGTCTTCTCTTGAGGGCCTTTAAATGCAGCTGGTAGAGATTGCATTTGGGCCTGTAGGGCGTTTATCTCTCAAGGCGAGGTTAGGACAGTTTTCCACAGGGTGCATATGTGGTCTAACGAAGATCTAGGTGGTAGATGAAGGTGATGAGTGGGTCGAAGGGATGACTGGTCTTCTCTAGGAAGAGACAAATAGGTAGATAGTAGCAATAGAGGCTACACGTGGGTCTTGCTGATGAAGAGCTGGAAAGAGATAAATGGTTTTCCCGAAGAAGAGATGGGTAAACAAATGTATTGTTAAGGTAATTGAAGGAGACGTTGCGTGAAGAATAATGCTTCTTTATACCGAGTATTTATATACATAAAATTACCAAATAGCACGTAGCACACAGCCCCTATGCCCAACAATCTGCTACACATCACCTAATGAAACTAGCCTATTCTTATCAGTCTTCCTTGCTGGTTTTAGAAGTGCATTGAACTACTATCTGTGTTTTAACTTAGCTGTCTGCATGGCGTTTCATATTACGCTATGCCACAATGATCCATGAAATTATCCCACCCATCTGGACATTGCCGTCCTGATCAACAGGAGTAAAAGAGTGGCTGTAGGGATTGGGTTGAGGCTGATATTGTGAATGGGCTGGAGTAACCTGAGCTTGGTTGGTTTGAGTGTGAGGAGGCCGCCAAAAGTCAATGCGTTGGTAAAATTCCTTATCTGATCCCATGGCCATAGAGATTTCGGGCAGCTTTTCCAACTCATTGGCCATTTCCTGAACTCCAACAACAAAGCTGTCATAGTCCGTGTTAGATATGCCGGATCTATAGGCAAGACCTTTACGTAAATGTGGCGCTAGCCCCTCTTTCATTGCGTTGACCTTGGACGCGACCTTGGGGGCGAGTATTCCAGCCTCGGAGCAGTGAGGTTTGAATACACTCCCAAATCTAGCGAAATTTTGACGTGGTCTTTGTTTGATGGAGTGCAGAGAAGTCTGCGCTTTGGAAGGCGCGTCTTTATCAGCGAAGAGGTCCTCCAGGTTAGCCAAAAATTCCAGGATATTCCACTCTTTGGATTTCTTTTTCTCAATCATCCATGGGCCAACCCTTTTCTGAGCGTCGGGAGTCAAGGAGTGGGTATAGACCTCGTAACAGAAAGCCTTCTCGTTGCCTAGTGATTTCCTGATATTGTTGTCTTCTGCAATCCCTTCGAGGCTTGTCTGGAACGTGGCAAAATTGGATGCATTTCCGGACCACTTTGGCCACTTGTCGAACATTTTTATCCGGAGGTAGCTGGACGGTGGTTGCTTGAAAGTTTGTTTGAATTTTTCTTTAATTTCTGGTGTGCCCATTTGGTATCTATGAGCTGATGTGCTTGGCGTTAGTACTCTTCCAAGCTGGTATAGTCAAATTGGACTATTGAAATACAACAGCTATCAGGGGTTGGACAAATGATGCGTGTTGCTTAAGCGAGACGTCGCGCAACACGCAGTAAGAATGAGAGAGTCTGAATATGTCACAAAGCGGGTCGTAATTTAGTCAATCAAACAATGGAAAGTAGTATATTCAGATTATCTATGAAGAAAGAAAGGTAAATACAGAGGGAAACCACGTTCTAAATATATGCCAAGTGCGCGCTAATACGCGAGGGACCGACATTAGTTGTGGACCCGTAACATTGCTGGACAAGATTTTTCTTGTTGCTTGATGTTGTGAGTTTATTTGGATCTTTCTGAGTTCGGCGAGCAGTTGGAGGTTGGGCAGCTATTCCTTCTCTTGTGGCTTGGCTTTGAACATTTTGAAGCAAGGCAAGTTGGAGCTGAGTTTCTGCTGCAAGTTTCTTTCCCAGAGAATCTGATAACTCAACATGAGTACTTATAAATGTAGCTCTTTCTGTGTCAAGTTGTGCGCAAAGAACTTTTTTCATTTTCTGCAGTTACACAGGCATTACGTGCCCTAACATTCCGCGAGCGTTCTTCATTGTATGCCACCTCATTTTCACATGCTTTCAGGCTAAGCTTCTCAAGTCCGAGTTCAAATACAAGAAGCATGGCGAAAATTGCCTTTGCATTGTTATCCAAGTTGGGATTTGGGAGTACATTCAAGATTTCTGCTAGTTTTGAGGGCGAAAATGGCCTGTTTGTAAGAGTGAGTAAAATCGTGTTTGGTGAGAACTCCAGACAAATTTGGGAAACAAAAAGTAAAAGATTTGCTCATTCTCTGACCAAATTCAGTATTTGTGGTATTCATCTTGAAAATTTGCAGTGGAGAGATTATATTCTGTTTTTAGTGTAAAGCTGGAAGCAAGAAGCAGAAGGTGAAAAACAAACTTGTAGATTTTCTGATTGGAAGCTGGGTATTAAGTAAATCTTATGAATTTCTACTGATTCAGATATTCTTAACAAATCTATTCACCAGGTCGCAAAAGGGGCGGGTCAGGGCACGAAAATTTGCTGTATTATGTTGAAAGCGAAAATCTTCAGG